TCTGTAAACCAGGATTCACAATTTAAACTCTGATGCCATTTCCTTCTTTAGATTTGGCTATATTATTTACAATCCTTGGATCATACACGCTAGTGTGCTTCCCTGTGAGCTAAGCTGACACCTCACTTAGATGTCTGCTAGTTTGAAAACAAGCCTTTAAGACCCCAGACACTTCTTTTTGATTGCCAGGCACCATCTAGTGTCTTCACTGCACATTGCTACAGCACATGCATCTTCAGTGGTCTCTTCATGAGAGTGAGCATCAAGCATCCAGGCCATGTCATAAGAACTAATTGTTTTTTGATGGGGTTAGAATTAGGTGCAAGCCCAAATCCATTCATTCATGTACGGTTTACATGTTACTAGAGAAACAAATCCAGTGACATGTATAAAAGTCTTATATCAAGAAATAATTATATATCGAGAGCAGCCCAGCCTGGTCCAACTCAAATCCATAAGACTAAGTGTAATGCGATGATGCTGAATGCAGGAAGACCACAGGCCAGTGGATGCAGAGTCTTGTGGATCCAAGGGCAGTGGGAGCATAGGAGGACACCCAACAGTTCAGGGTGGCCACCAGAATCCCAGCAAGCAGGAAGACAGTGGCAGGGGGAGGGGTAGGTTTCCACAGTCTCCTAAAAGGCCTCTCCCCCCAAGGAGACAGCATCAGGCTGACCTGATTCACAGGTTGGATTCCACCCCTATACATTTAAACATCAAATTCACATAAAATTACCTAACTACCACAATATGCCTCTGTGTTTGCCCAAGACATCATTGCTATTTTATGTTTGAGAGCATTATCAATCATTCCCCGAGGGCATCAAAATCACTTCCTTTGCCATCAAGTCAGCAACCCTATCAGGTAGGGTAGAATTGCCCCTGTGGGTCTCCAAACCTACACATCTTCACAGGTGTAGAAAGCCTCGTCCTTCTCTTGTGGAGCTAGCTGGTGGTTTCCAACGGCTTGACTTTGTCATAAGTAGCCCAGTGTGTAACCACTGCACTGATAGAGTCATAGCCAAGGATCTAGAATTTAAAACACTTGCGAAAAGGAAATTATGAGTATAGGCCAGCTATGAATCACAGTTCATGAATTGTTGACTTAGATTCAACTCTTAAATGATGGTTCTACACAACAGGGTTGGTGAGAGGGCAAATATACTGATAATATTCCTTGACAACAGCAGAACCACACCTACCAGATTTATACATAAAATAGTGAAGCAAGGAAGGCATTAAAATAGTAAGGTATGGTAGTTCCAGGTCACCATTCATTGGGCAACCTCAAAGCCAAATGCTCTTTTTTAAGTATCATTTATTTTGGTTGTCTCATACCTGAGGAATAAATCACATATTCAAAATCATTTTTTTCACTTACCAATTTTGAAATATAAATGTACCGTATGTACTCGAGTATAAGCAGACCCAAATATCAGCCGAGGCACCTAATTTTTCCACAAAAACTGCATTTAAAATGTGCTGGAAAACTCGGTTTACACACGAGTATATACGGTATGTTGACATCAGATTAGCTGTAATATTATTTTTAAATGTTTACGTTCAAATTCATTTGTTACCATAGAACCATATTTAAAAGTGGCAAAGTTTTACATCCAGGTAAAATGAGATGGCAGCAACCAAGTAGAATGCAAAACCAAAAGCTCACCGAAGATGGAAAGGATTTGTGAATCCCTAAAGACAATTCCCAAATGTACTTGGATTTGTAAATGTAATGAATCTGAAGAGATTTCCTCCATTGGGTGCTCGAGTTTAATGGGTACAAATTGGTGTACTAGTACTGCTAGTGCTGAATTACTAGTAAGTTAAAAGGGAAAAAATATACCCCTGTAATTCAGTAGAATTCTGAAGCTGTCCATCTTTACAGGAGAAAAACAATTGACCTTGTGGTTAACAGCCCATTATGTTAACCACTTCATTATCAAACCAAGAAAAAACCCAAAGGTTGTCAACTCAGACCCTGTAAGACAGGTTAGAACTGCTCCTGTTTCTAAGACTAACATCCTTCTGTCTCCCTAAGAGTGGCTGGTGGTTTTGAGACACCTCCCTGCACCACCATGACTTCTTTTTTTTTTAAATCATTTTATTAGGGGCTCATACAACTCTTATCACAATCCATACATACATCAATTGTGTAATGCACATTTGTACATTAATTGCCCTCATCATTCTCAAAACATTTCCTCTCCACTTAAGCCCCCGGCATTAGGTCCTCATTTTCCCCTCC